CCGGAAAAATATTATTGTTTCTGTACTGGTGAATGACCGGTTATTTTTAACACCTAATTAAATATTATTTGAAAAATAGTTCTATTATGGATTTTGACTAAAGATTACATTTAGGTAGTTATGTTATCTTGTTCGCGAGTCCAAAACGATGATTTAGCTCCCCTTGGTCAAACGAAGATAGGATCGAAATAGTTACTGCTAATAAGTATTGAAGGATCTAGGGAATTTTGTACCACATGATATGGGAAAAAACGTTTATGTAAGCGATTAACAACATTTCCACAGTTTGTTTATTCTGTTGAAACCAAGATATTTTGATCCCAGTACCGGTTATAGTTGAATCTCAATTGACCTTATCGGAATGAGATATATTGTCACAAAAATATTGAGCACATTACTGTTTCTATAAGACTTCCTTTCCAGTACAAAAGCCGAGTTTCTTGTTTCTATCTTTTCCCAATATTTCACAACGTAAGATTATTTGTAGTGAGTGTAGTTATTTTAGTCTTTATGAACAGTAAATGTGTTCGAAGAACTCTGGTTAACTTGACATTGTTCAAACCATTGTTCTGACAGAAGTAGTTCCTCCCCTGGAACAGTTCACAACGAATGACCTTGAACAAGTGATTTTAGTTATTTGGTAAATTCGTGTGATGTGGGATATGTCACGTGCTGGCTACGGTGAACATCAAATAGAATTTCGCAACTGTAATTATGTGGAGATTTGAAAATACGCGGGGTTCACAAAAAGTACATTTACTGTTCTAGGAACAAAAGATTATCTAAAATAAAAGTTACCATTTTGGAGAAGGTGGCATGCTTTTGATGAAGAATAACAAAAATTGCCAATAGTTTCTACATCATAGTGAAGGAAGTGTTCAATTCCTGATACCTAGAAATATCCAAGCTTACGCCATGACGGTACCAAGGAACACATTGAATCCTTGTGTATCCTGGCATTTTAGACTTTATCAACAGCGTGCGTAGTTCAAAAATATGCACTGTGTTTTCAACCTCATTCGGTTTTTATACTTAGGAATGTGAAATCAAGATATTCTATTCACATGACATACATAGAGCGGTTTTGTTTCGGATTCTGATCGACAGTGATGCTTCAAGAATTATAATTATACATGGAATAAATCCATTGTACAAGTGGACTGTATTTATTTAATTGCTGAGTGGGACATATAATCGGATAAGGAAAAGTCGGTCCCCGACAGTTGTATTGGTGCTTTTGTCGTTGTTGGTGGTGATGGGGAGGAGACGATGATGATGTGGTGGTGGTGATGGGGTTCGAATTTCGATCTTTGGGACGGTGTGATTGCGATCTGTACCCACGATGATTGGACCAACTGTCATATGAATTTTAATTTTTTCAAATAGTAATCAACATTTGGAAAGATTCATGAGTTTCTCGAGCATACTTAAAATTTTTCTTGCTCTTTACATATTTCCTTCTGGAGCTGGACTATCTCAGGTCGCATCGCAAATATAAAATATAGCTCAAATTGTTTTGACGATGCTGAATGAGTCGTATTTCTATTTGCACACATGAAGCGCCGTTTCACGTCAGCGTCAGCACAGTTACACTATGCACGCATACTTTCGATTTTTGCGGCAATTGTTTTGGATGGGCACAGCTGTCAGGAAAACAAGTACTGAATTTTACCTAGTCACGAACGCTGAAAGGTATTTTAATTGATCAGATAATCTTTGCATCATGCTGACCAAATTGCAGCTCAAATCGCAGTTCTTTGTGTAACTTCGCACTCCATCAAATTCTGAGCCACATTTTTACAATATGTTCGTGAATTTCAGAAATCTTCGGGGCTGGTTAGGCACGACCAGATGTATGCCACAAGAACCCTACCTCATTCGAAGTCGCTCAACTTCCCCCGAGAGCACTGCTATCCCTGGCAAGGTCTGGACAAACCGAACCCGCTTGTTGAACCGTGTGCCAAGGAAAAAGTGAACCCATGTAAAAAGCTCACCAGTGGTTCCTCTATTGCACATTGTTGCAAACATTGTCATCAAATGCACTCTGTGGTTGAAATAGAGGAGAACGCGGGATCAAGACGGCTCAAACCAATCTCCTCCGCGGTTCCCTGTAGGTGGCGCCATTCGACATCCTGTCCCATTCGTCCAGACACAATCGGGCATTCTGGTGCCCCGTGTCACCTGCAAACGTTGAGTTCACAGTGTTACATTCCAAAATATGCGCTTCACGTGCTCTCACACAGATATCCGATTCCCGAAATTCGAGAGGTTGTGCTCACGCGACCTGAGGGTATGCACCGATTTGGGATGCGAATCGAATCGATTGGTCGAGTGAGTGTCAATACATATGTTCGGTTAAATGTGAATGAAACAAACGTGTATCTGAAAGCGTGCTGATCAACCTAGGTGATATACTTTCATTCACGGCTCTCAAAAAAACTCTTGATTTTATCATGTATTTTGTGGGATAACAATATTCGAATATTGTAGGCATCTTGCACTGCTTATGCTGTACGTAGGTTTCATTTTTCAGATGTACTCCCCTGAAGTTCATTCATTTACCACGGACGAAGTACAGCTATGTCAGGATTAGAGTAGTTGTATGATGGTTAGCAAAATATTTGTCTGTTCATTAGTTTGACTCATGGACAACACATATCCCCCTTTTGGGACTCGAACGGCAAACTGTTGGGTCTGACGCAATCCACAAATCCTGGAACATCAAACACAATTAGGGATTGGCCACGGTAAACTGAAATTCTATGCTTTGAAAGAACTCATTCCATTAGCAAATGCATAGACATGGTGCGTGGTGGTGTGCTGTAGTTGCTGTTTACTGTCCACGTTCATCTACTATTCACATCAGAAATCTGCTACAGAGGGACTGAAATTGCACAGGTGTTTTACCGCTGACCGTCTAAGGATTGAAAACCAGAAAAGTACCAACAAGAGGAAAATTGATAACCTATCTTGAGGTAACATTTTTATTTTAAATCAGTGATAAAATCGCAAAACGAAAAAACAAACAAACCGGAACACCTAAAAGGCAATGCAGCACTACCCCGTTCACCCAGACTAATTATAACTTTGACATTTGATGCAGTTTTTGCTACCAGATGCATATCGGTAATACATGCGATGCACCGAATGCTTCGCATTTGGTCCTCGAAATGACATGAAAAAATAGAAATAGACAAAGTGGTATCTCTATCAATCGGTCGAGCTGTGGATTCTTTTCATTGATCCTTTATTTCAATTCTATCACCATACTTGCTGGTGTCAAACAACTGCGTAATTGATTAACATTTCACAGTGCAAACTTCACTGGTAAAAAGGATTATTTCAGACTCCCTACGCAGTTCGTTTAAAAGTGAGCGGCAATCGACATGGTTTAATGAAATAAGTATCCTGAACTTAGTTTGCTTGCTCTTCTTTAATTTGATCGAACTGACAGAAGAACAAAGGGTTCAATCTGGTGATTTTAAACCGATCGGATGGGACTGATCGTTTCTATCCCCATTACTTAGAAAGTTAAAGTTTGACATCTGTAATACTGTAATATCTCTATTTAGAACTCGTTTATCTATGTGACAGAATATTATTCATTTTGCTCAGTTTACTTACAACGATAGGGAACAAACCACAGCCTTATTTTGTTCTACTTTTAAAAGGACGTGTCTTCGTTTAATTTATAGATATTATTGGAAAACGTGTCGTTATGTGCTGTAAATGACAATGACATCCATTTCTGGTTTATGGATATGAACATATATGGGAATAATCAGGGTCCTTAGAACACGCGAAAATCGATCCGTGGGGTTCCCGACCGCCAAAGAGAAGCTAGCTCGCAAGAAACTTCAACGAGCTGTCTTCATCATCTTACGAATCGGTTTGGTGTCACCAGATATATATATATACCTGTGCAGAAAGAACATATTGGGTTTGCAAAACGAACCCCAATTTGTGTAATACACGCAGAGAGAAAAGTGTTTCTCTGAAGTAATTTGTTTTTTTAAGTACACAGGTGTAGAACGAACGACCGCTATTCGTTGAAGCTTATTCCACAATCGAATTGGCTTCGCACGTGAACGGATAATTGTGTTTGGAAACCAAAATTGAACACCTTTAAATCGGAAATCCGAGGTTGTATCGACAGAGTTGTTCTACTGTTGCTGCTGAAGTCGCAAGACTTGGGTACATGAAACGACAGTGCACGGACAAAGGAGGGAAACCCAGTATATGTAGACTGTATTTGTACAACCTTGTTGGATGTTTGTATGAAGATGATACATAATTTTTTTTAATGGGTGTTGTTCTGAATATTGGCAACTCATTCATTATTAAGAATGGTAGCATCAGCTAGTTCTGTCATTTTCTCATAAAAATAATTCCTGAACACAACTTCAAATACAACAATCATATGAACGAACATACACTGCGTGATGGAGCAGCAAATGGTTACTCTATCAAACAGGAGAACCACATATTAGATAGTCAGTTGAAAAAGTAACGGGTAAGAATTATAATTCCAAGCTGAGTTATATTTTTTATTTAGTCCGAAGTATCGTATATGACGTGCAGTCGCCTTCGGTCAAAGCTTAGGTGAAAAACCGTTTTCTGCAAACTGGAAGTCAAAGGTCTTTGGAAATTTCATAATATTTAGGGAGGCCATAAAAGTCCTAAATATGATGCGAAAATAATACTAAAGCTTATATGAAAGAAGACTTTGAGGTGGACACTAATGTTTGTACAGGTAATTGAGATGCACAATAAAATCACAGTTTCCGAGATGGGAGAACCCCCAAACGGGAGCGGATTCAGCAATAAAAGATAGCTGTGAAGATTGTATTGTGTAAACCGTGATCGATATTAGAGAAGAGACATTTGGGAGAACCAAATGCTCGTGATCAGTGACGTCAGCAAGATTATTCCATGGTTATCCCACCAAATGTGTAGATAATAACTCAACAGACTTAACAAACAAAACCAAATGGTTACGTTTTGAAAAAAAAATTGAATGACAAGCTATGAAAACACTGGGAGAATAAAAGTGTATTAGAAAGAAAGGGAAACTACATATTAGGCATTTTGGTTTGAAATATCTTTTTACAAATACAGTATGAGTAATCTGTTTTTAGAGTTCAAAAATCCTCCGTAAACGTTCTATTGGTATAAGAAGGTTAATTTATCGCATTTGAAATATATTATAGGTCGTAAATTAGGTTATAAATTTGGTATCAGCTATTTTTAGGTTGGATACCAAATTTGTCCACTTTTCTCAGAAGGAAAACATTTCTTATTGAATAACATCGATCCCCATGTGCTTTGAAGTTCCATTTGACTCATGTGGTCATGATGTGGTGGTGGGCAGGTTATAAATATGACGAGGAGATAGCGGTTCCTATCCACTTGGCGTCATGCACTTCGGACAGAGAAATAGAACGACAAGGGTGAGGCGTACTTGGTTCTCTGAATATAAAAAAACAACACATCAAACCTCCACACTTCAGAAGTTGGTTGAACCAAATAAATGAAAATAAAATCACTGACATCTCGTAAAAGCACCAATGCCAGTTCCCTTAACTTGTACAAAAACCAGACTCCACTGGGCTTGGTGGAGCCAAAAATATTGTTTCTTCATCATATCATTTTGCTTTTAAGAAATACCAACCGGAGAGTCTCACAATACATCTATATCGCCGGTGCATAGCATCTATGCCCGTCATCCACCCAACACTTCGGAACACACCTCATTCTCAGTTCCATTGGACTGGTGAGTGAAGTTTGTTAAAGTAATTTCAGTAAACTGAAAAAGAGTTTGTTTTCAAAAAGTAACCTTGAAATAAGACGTTTTGAATCCTCGGATGATAACAGCCGAACGTTTAATCGCAACCATGGTTTGGCCAGGTCATAAAATCGGATACCGCTTTTTACCTGAAGTCTTCCCGGTCGGTGAATCGGTCTGGTTGAGAGTATGATTTGTGTTTTTGAAAACGATCTCACAATGGTTTCCCGCGTTGTATAAAGCTATACGTAAATCGCTGAAGACATCCAAAAAGTTTCTACTTTTGTCACCATGAAAATGTGTTTCAAACCAAACACAGCTGGTTTTACTTTGATCAGCCTTTTCACTGAGTAGATAACAACTGGGATTAAGTACTGTATTTTGTCACAGAAAATCAAGAATATGCTAACGTTTGTAACACCGCATGATGTCATCAGTGAAATTTCTCATTCGATTAGATTATAGCGCTCATTTTTTACACGTCACATACGGCTTGTAGATGCGATATGGTGGAGACAATCGTCAGTGATCAGCATTCGTCTTACCGGAGAATAGTTGTAATAGCAGATGAATAGATGTAAATGTAGTTTACCATTTCACCTTTTCAAAGCAACGAAACAAATTACTTTAGAATATAATTTCCATCAAAACCGTATGATAACTTCAAATAGCTAAGGCGAAAAGCAGGACTTTGAAAAACGGAAAATAACATAGATTGTTCCGCAGTTCGAATACAAGTATACTGTCGTTTTGAAAACTGTAATCGGATATTTTTTTAGCTTAACCGCATTTAATCATTTATTTCAAACTGAATGTTAAACCTAGCAACATTCATTTCACTGCTGTTTGTCAAATTTTTGCAGTCCAGTTTTAGTGATGATGTAAAACTTGCCCTGATATATCTGGTCGCACATAATCCTAACAAATCAAAATGCAAATACGGTTGATCGGATAAGAGGGAGTGCCCACGTAACGCGGATTAAATACAAGACTTAATGTGTGACCACCTCCATTTTGGGCACTATAGTATTGCCAATTTATGTCTGCAAAGTAACAAAAAATGGTAAGTTATTTCCTCTGTGTGAGGGATTACTCTTTATCAAATTTTCTTGAACTCTGTGGCAGACTACGTTGATCGCCAAGATATGTCATTTGTACTAGTTAGCGTTCTAGTAAAACTTTATGATAAATATCGCAGCCATTCATTCAGCTTGATTTATAAATAAACCTTCCACTTAGCTCCATCGGATGTCACTGCAATTTGTGAATTTACTTATTCTGCCACCAGGGAAACTGATAACGATGTCGATTGATGAATTGGAAATTATTTAAAAGAAATAAAATTATTCCATATATCGCTGCCTTCACTAATGTTTAGGGTACGTTGGTGCACAAATTTCTCCATCAAAAACAAATCATGTACTAGTTCGAGGGTAGAGCCGCTTCCAATATAACCAAATGTGTGCAGTTGGGTGATTTAGATTCAGCAACGACGTATTGCATTGCACCAAGCAAAGAGCAGTGAAAACGTATCCTAATTGAAAGC